CGAGAAAATATTATTGTTCCCTCGAGGGTCGTTTTGAGTACCGAACTTTAAGCAATTATATATTATCTAAATGGATGGATAAAATTCTTAAAATAAATAAATAAAATGAACTAAATTAAGTAATAAAGTAAAGCAATTCAAATTTGATATTTTAATAAACAATTGGAAAAAGATAGCAACTGTTCCTGTATCTACGCTTGAATTTGCAATTAAGCACTCTTCCTCTATCTATGCTTGATAATTAATTTCAATTTATAGAAATTTCTGATTTAAAAGGGAAGATTTCCTAAATTAGCAATTGTTCTTTTTCAAGATACAAAAGTGTATTTTAATTATAACCACACTCAGTTTGATGAAATCTTTATTACACCCTCAATTGATGAAATCTTTATTACACCCTCAAAATAATTAAAGTTACGTCTAACTTAAAATTATTAACTCAAACTATAATTTATTCCAATTTTACACTTTACCTTGTGGTTTCTAAAATCTAAGACCATGTAATTGTGAGATCCGATACAACTACAAGCAAATTTTTCTGAGCCAATCCTTTTGCCTCCAAAAGTAAACGATAATTAGTCAGATTTGTGGGTTGTCAAAACGGACATGGGCTGAATACTTTGTGTAATGCTTCAATTTGATAATGCTTCAATTTGATAATTAAATTACGAAAGGATTTTGGATTGATTGACATATGTTATTTAAATTTGTAACTATATTCTATATTTTTTTTGCTAGTTATGTTTAAACAGGAATATAAGCACAGACACTTGAGAGAGTAAACTAATATTTTTATTTTCCTTATTTATAAAAAACTAAATAAATCTAAGTAACATTAATTACAAATAATTTCTTTTAATAAATTTCGCTTGCTTAATAAAAAATCTCGTAAATAAAATTTCTTTGTGTTATTTAAATTAAAGACATAAAATGAGTAAACCAGCCATCCTATTCCTTCCCTTGTAGGAATCGGAGATTGGCCACTTAAGCACTCAAAGCAAAAGCGCTTGAGTTGAGTTGAGAAGGATGGATGATTATGAGTTGAGTTGAGAAGGATGGATGATTAAAAACGTCGTTAAGGTTTTAGCTAAGGTCGTCCACATTTGATAACTTCATCTTCTACTTCGCGAGGAAGTTTCAACTTTCAAAGGATAATTATCTAAGGTAACGACAAAGGTTCTCTCTTGTGGGGAGCAAGATGAGGTGGCCCCTTCCTTCCTTGCAATTAGCAATGATAGAAAACCTTATTTTCCTTTGTCCTTTCCTAAGTTTCCTCTATTTCCATAAAATACATAAGGAACGTTAGCCTACTCTCCATGTTAATCTCTATACTACTGTAACATTTACAGTAGTGTTTAGATTTTAAGAGAAGGAATAATGAAATATTATTTTTTTAAATATTTAATAAAATGCCTGTTAAACAATTCACAGTTAAATATTATTAAAATAACGAAATTTACACAGTCTTTTTAGATGATTTTCTAATAAATTTTTATTTATTTATTGAAATACCTTGATATTTTAAAAATTGTTTCCTATTAAAAAATGTTATTCAAAATCTTCTAGAAGAACATTTTATTCAAACTAAAAAAATCACTCCTTTAACTCTCTTTACATTAATTAATGAGTTATTTGTTTTAATAGGATACAAGTTACCTTAAATGATAATTAACCTATTTCAACTAAGATATGAAGGGAAATCTTAGAAAATCGTGAGTTATCCATTACCATGCTAAATTAAAAAACAGTTAAAATTCACAAGTTGTGCTCTTTATATTTCTTTTAAATAAAAATTTTCATTTCAATGTCTTGGAAAATTCAATTTAGGAACAACTAATTTAATATTTTATAAATTAATAAATTCAATTTAGGAACAACTAATTTAATATTTTATAAATTAATATTTCATTAAGAAAAAACAGTTTTATTAAATTTATACGTCTAAAATAATAATTTTAATAGAAAGTGGATTATATTTCAGTTGAATTTTAGAAGGATTTACTTCAATACTCCAAGAACAAAAAAATTAAGGAAACGACAAGAGGAAAATCCACCAAATGCAAGTTTTATATTCTTAAGAACACAAATTAGTAGCACCGGTTTCAACTGGTGGTAAGAGCACTCTTTTATTTAATTTATTCATTCATTAGCCATGAAAATAATCATTCCATACGTCAAGCAAATTAAAATAATCATTAAATATGGAATAATTCATTGTGATGTGCACCTTGCTTACCATTAATCTACTAATTGATATCTTATCCTGTCTTATGCCTTGTCTAAAAGTTAAAATTGATATCTTACCATTAATATACACAAAAATAAAAAAATAAAATAAAATAAAATCGCTGACACTCTTTAAAAAATTCTTACAGATTATAGAGGTTATTTAATAGGTTTGGAGAGTAAAATGTATTATCTAATCATTTGGGAAAAGAGTTTGAGTGAGAGTATGATTTTTTGAAAGTTATTTGAGGGATTGAAAATCCATCTAAACACTCCAATCTTCAACAACCTGAATTAGGGTGTAAACATGGTTAAAAATTTTAATTTTCAAAATTATTCATAATTATATTTATAAATCTTCCATGACAAGGGTATTTTCGTAATATTTATATTTAACAGTACATTTCTCCACCATTAAACCAAACAAAACAATGTTATTAGACCTTCATTTATCATACCTTCTCCACAAACACAAAAAAGACATTTGTCATACTTTCCCGTACTATATTTTACTATACCTTACTTATTTTAACGATCCCTCTCGCCCTTCATCCAAACAAAGGGTTAATTTCATTGGTTTGATTCATAGGTGGAGACATAGAACGAATCTAGACAAATTTTTCCTCAATTTCATCAGTTTGGTTTGGTTCATTGTTTTTGTGTGGTTTTTTCCTCTCTCTTTAATTCATTAGAAGATTAACAATATTACGAGCTATATAATAAGACATGGTCCTCTCTTAATTTATTAAATTGATGAAAATTTTTGTCTAGAGAATCGAATTTGAACTTCTCACTCCGACATTAAAAGAAAACTAATCAGATAACACTTGATTGACCGATATATATATATATATATATATACACACACACTGCGATGATACTAGTGTATTATTTTCTTGCCAATGCCAAAGATAATAAAACATATATATATATACACACACACTGCGATGATACTAGTGTATTATTTTCTTGCCAATGCCAAAGATAATAAAACAAAAATAATGAGTTAGATTCATGAAGTCTAATGGCGGTTAGGGAATAGTTGCGTTACATTATTAATGATTCATTATTTTAAGCTATACTTTAATGGTGTATTTTAAGGTTAATTACATATGTGGTGTGTGTGAGAGCTTTTAAACTTTTTTATTTGATATCTAAAACACAAAAAGTTATAAATAAATCTCAAAACTACTAAAAGTGTTGCAATTAGGTGTTACATTAATTCACAAGCAACAAAGTATTCATACAAATAGAGAAAAAAAAAAAAAGAAAGTATATTTGATTTAAAATAAAAGAGGGTTATTTTATGGGACTAATATATTTTGATATAACAATAATATTATTAGTTTTAATCCTTCGGTGTCTGAGCCCATTGGCCCAATTAAATTCGGATTCACAATGGACAGACCCACAAAGAAGGTCCCTCCTGAGTGTTTAAAAAGAATTCATATTCAAGGCTCGAATTCGAGACCTTTAGTTAAGGGAGAAAAAATTTCTATCATCTCATCTCACTTCTCGAAAATGATTTAACAATAATATTATTATTAAATGAAAGAGGTGCCAACGAATTTGCTTTTGTATAACTAAAAGTTAGTTGTTTTAGTAGTTGTTAACTACTTAACCAGAATTCCATCAAAAATTAAAAGGGAGTAATGTTTTGTAATATGCTCTCTCAAATTATAAATATGTATCAACGGTACACTATCAAACACGATAAGTAATAGAGATAATGTTTTAACTTAATACTAGAGAAAAAATATTAAAAAATTATATTAAAATCTACCAGAAAAGATGTTGCCGAACGTAGTTAATATATGATTTCCGATGTATTTTTTTTCTTAATACTAATTAAAGAGAAAAAAAATAAATAACAAGGCTGATTTATGAAGTGTAAATATGGTAGGGAAATTGTGTTATACTATTAATGACTATTTAAAGCGGCATCTCTAAGGATTCATTATTGATACTCTACCTTAATAATATACTCCAAGATTAATTATACATTTAATTTCGCAATTTTTAAATTTTTTTCTATTTTACTGTTTGAATAGAAAAAAATATTATAATTAAATATTTAAATTATTGAAAACCTTGCAATCAGGTACCAATTTGATTTGAACGCAACAAAATAAATCAGGTACCAATTTGATTTGAACGCAACAAAATATTGATGGAAATTGAAAAAAAAAATTAAAAAATATATTTGATTCAAGTGAAAAGGGGAAAATTTTATCAATTTTGATATAAGTAAAAAATCTTGATCTGGTAATAATATTTTTTTGTTTTAGCGATAATGTTACCACCACTTTATTATTAACGTTGTATTTTATTTAAATTATTTTAAGGCTTCTTTTATTTTCATAAAATAGTTTATTGAAAAATATTGTTTAGTAATATTTGAAATATTTGGAAAAATCAATTAACAAAAGATATTTTTATGGTTAAGGAGAAAACTAAAACGTTTTAAAGGAAACTAATTTTTATTTTAAGTGAGAAAATATATTTCTAACGATGAACAATTTATTTTAATAAAAGAAATAACTTAAAAATAAACAAATAATTAAATATAATAATAAAATAAATATAATAATAAAATAAAATAATTATATATATAATATAAAAATTGAAAGCCTGGCCAGAGTTTGCAGATGGTGACTTCTTTTTTTTTTTTTTTTTTTTTTTTTTTTGGTGAGAGAGAAGGTGAACTAATTTTTTAATTAATTAACTATTAAATAGACATATTAGGATTGTCATGTCAGCATGGCACATTGCATGCCATCAGCCCATCACTGAAGAAAAATCCTGTAATTTAATATTCGAATAAAATTTAATTATATTAGCTAACCGTTGTACGATATGCTTCAGTTGGAAATAGGAAGATAACATCTTCTCTATATGATCATAATCTGTTCTTCGAAACGCAAAGGCATTCCAATTCCGAGACTCGGTACAAATCTTTTCCATGGCCGTCATTCGAGGCAATTGGATCGAGGTAACTTCTCTCTCTCTCTCTCTCTCTCTTCTTCTTGATCAATCAATTTCATGGAAATGGTTTATATTAGGAATTCAATTCCTGGAAATGGTTTATATTAGGAATTCAATTCCTGTTATTTTTATTGAATCCAAAATCTCCTTTTCTTGATTTGACTGAAATTCATTTCCGAGAAATTTGAATTCAGTAATTTTTGTTATCTGCTTGTATCAGCTTGATCAGAAAGGGACTGGTCCTGGAGCCAGAAGCTCACACGCCATTACCTTAGTAGGACACAAGGCCTACGCTTTTGGTGGCGAGTTTGCGCCACGTGTCCCTGTCGACAACGACCTTCACGTCTTTGATCTCGACAACCAAACATGGTCTACCCTTCAAGTCACCGGAGACATACCGCCGCCGCGGGTCGGTGTCACAATGGCCGCAGTTGGGAAAACTATTAATGTGTTTGGTGGCAGAGACAGTGAACACAAGGAGCTTAATGAGCTTTACTCTTTTGACACTGATACTAATAAGTGGACGCTACTATCTAGTGGCGATACCGGGCCTCCTCACCGGAGTTACCATTCAACCACCTCCGATGATCGGCACGTGTACATTTTCGGCGGCTGTGGTGTCGCCGGCCGGCTTAATGATTTATGGGCCTATGCCTATAATGTGGTCGAACAAAAATGGATCAAGTATCCAACACCAGGAGAAAATTGTAAGGGCCGAGGCGGGCCTGGGCTGGCCGTAGCCGGAGGGAAAATATGGGTCGTATATGGGTTCGCTGGTATGGAAACGGACGATGTGCATAGCTTTGATCCGACCCTTGGAAAGTGGGAGCAAGTACAGATACGGGGTGAAAAACCAACGGCTCGAAGTGTATTTTCAACGGTTGGGATTGGAAAGTACATAGTGATCTACGGTGGAGAAGTGGACCCGAGTGACTTGGGCCACATGGGTGCCGGAAAGTTTACTAGCGAAGCATGGGCTTTGGACACGGAGATTTTAGAGGCATGGGCTTTGGACACGGAGATTTTAGAGTGGAAGAAGGTGGATGATGGGCGCTCGAAAAATCATCCTGGGCCGCGAGGGTGGTGTGCTTTTTCGTCGGGCCGGTTGAATGGGGAAAATGGGCTGTTTGTGTACGGTGGTAATTCTCCGAGTAATGATCGGCTTGATGACATTTTCTTTTTTAGATTGATACAATGGTGATTGCTTTGCGTGTGAGCTTTGTTAAGAGTAAAATATTAGTGTGTGATTGTGAATTTGTGATAGGGAGGGTGAGTTAATAAATTATGAGAGTTGATTGATAAGATTAAGCTTGTATTTGGTCAATGGTGGTGATATATAAAGTTAATAATTTAGTGGGGGGAAACCTAAAAATTTAGTAGAGAACGTAAATTTTGGTAACTATATATATTAAAATGTAAAAAAGTATTAATTTCCGCTGTGGACACTAATGTAGATGTGGACCCAGATAATGACATTGGAAGAAAAGGAAAGAAATAATAAAAATATTCAAATCATTTTTCTACTTTCTAAATTTTTGTCCCATTAAAATTATAATATTTAAATTTGAAAATTACACCTATAGCTGTTTGGTTGGTTTATAGTGATTGTTTTTGATATAGCTAAATATACACGTTGATGGCCCATAGCGGTGGTTGTTGATATTTATGGTTAATGTTAAAATATTAAATGAACGTCAAGTCAGGGAAGATGGAAAAGATTAAGGTAAACCATTGATATCTCCTGCATCCCAATAGGACCATCATAATATAGTTCGTCAGCACACAGGGAAAGTTCTTAGCATTTGAGTGCCTTGATGCTGTCACTTCACCTTAGGAGTGTTCATAAACTGTCACAAAACTATCCAAATCGATTCAAAACCATGGTTTTGAAAATTTGTGATTTGGTTCAGTTTATAAAATTTCTTTATCTTGATTGTGTATATTCAGTTGCAATTAACCATAATTTTACATTAATTAGGTAAACTATATATATTTATTTTATGGAAAGTCTAAATGTTAAAGGTTGTTTGTGGAAATACAATAGCACGTATAATATACAAATTGTAGTTATTTTATGGAAAGTCTAAATGTTAAAGGTTGTTTGTGGAAATACAATAGCACGTATAATATACAAATTGTAGCATGGTTTAAACTGTATGTAGAGAGAAATTAACATTTGAATTCCAGATGAATAAATTGTTTAATTAATTACCTATTAAAGAATTAAAATATGAAAATTAATGTAATATTGAAGGATTAAATAAATATATAATATGGGGTTTACAGAAAGTGCTCATTTCTTCAGTTGCTTGTGGTGACTGATTCTTTGATCCAATACATTTCTATAACATGGGCTCCCCAAAAAAGCCTTCTACTTCTACCCATAGTGGCAAATTAGGCTCAAGTGCCAAAATAAGGTATGTGACCAAGAAGATCAAATAGGCTTGTGTTTCAGGCTTCAAAGCCCACCTTTGATGGGCCAATAAGACCCAACTTGTTTGGAGCCCAGCCTGATAAAAATTATTTTCATCCCCAACAAGAACCCCATTATAAGCTACTCATCCATTTCGCTCATTATTCGGATTTCAAGAAAACAATAGCTTATTTGTTTTTACTTAGTTTTAAGGTTTTCACCGATTCAAAACTCTAACTTAATTAACTGTAGCGTTGGTAATATCACTTTTATAAAAATTTTTACAGGCAGAGAATTTTTATAAAACGTTAAATACTGTAACCTTTAACTTTTAGCGAATAACTATTAATTAATTTTTTCTGTACAATCAAATTCATTGTTTTTTCCTTTGAATTTTGTTAATTGAACGACTAATATTTTAAATTAAACAACTAATTAAATAGTTATTTTACTAAATATTTCTAATTTAAACCGTTATATAAATAGTTACGGGTAAAAACTAAAAACTAACTGCTATTATATTGTTTTTATATTTTAAAAAATGGAAGAGATCAGCCAACAGATCGATAAATAAGTAAATATAGAAATAAGTAGTGCAGGTTGTGAAGCCACATGCCCACATCTTCCTGGTAACTTACAAGTAACTAGAGAGCTTTTCTGCCTGAGTGACAGATGACGATGCATGTGCCTTTGGTTGCAGAATCCTTTTTCTCCTCTCTGGAAAAAATTACTTCGTAAGAAACCAAATAAAGGAAGATGTAGTTTGATGATCAAGTTTTAGTTGTGTTGGAATAGGAAATTAGTAAAGGGAATATAGATGACTTTTGCTCAAGAATAAATGGAAGAACATCGGGATATATATCTATGAATTTTTGCAGAAATTTTCCCTTGGAATCTATATATCTATGAATTTTTGCAGAAATTTTCCCTTGGAATCTATTTCAAGCATATCCACAACTATTTAACTTTGCAGCAAAGAATCTTTTACTTAATCTGCAGACTTTGGATTCTAATAACTATTCTTGGCCTGGTTTTAAGAACTTTTCTCATATTAATAACAGGAGCAAGACTTAATTTGCCCTCTGAAAATTTACTTTAAAATGTTTTTTTTATTATAATTATCGCCCTAACTCGGAACTAAATGATTAAAAAGATCAAATTTATGGCTTAAAACAACAAAATAATAATTTTCAATGTTTCTATTTTTTAAGCAATTTTTTTGTGAGTATGGGAGGAGGGGATTCGAATATAATCTATTGCTAGATAGTATATATACTTATTATTAGATTATGTCTTGGTGTGTTTTTAAGCAATTTCTGGTTTAGCTGCTGACCTACTATGAATGATACACAAAAAAATAAAAAATAAAAGCAACTTGATTTCTTTTTATTGATCCTCAAGTCCTTGCATACGTGCGCGCGCAATCGTCGTCACGGGAAATTTATCCTACTCATACCAATAATAATAATAATAATAATAATAATAATAATAATAATAATAATGATAATAATCTCTCTATCCTATTTTATTTGCATGATTGACAAAACACACATATTAAGAATTTAATTAATAAAAATTATTTTATCATTTTATACCCTTCACTCATTTAGATATTAATAAAAGTTTTTCATTTAATGAAACAATCATAAAGATTATTATAGAAAAAATAATTATTTACATATCTAAATTTAGAAACCTTGTAAACATTTTGAGACGTCCAAAAAAGAAATAACAAGTAATAAAATAGGACGAGGGAATATCTTTTTGTCATGCCAAGAAATTATTTTATAAAAACTTTCTAAGGTTCTTCTAAAAATTCTAAAGCTAAGAGAATTTTTTTTTTTTTGTAAACCATCGGTATCCATGTAAGTGTATTTAGTAGGGATCGAATCCGATAGCTCTTTTCATATGTTCAGCCTGTATTATCAACTGAGCCACGACCCGTGAAAAAAGCTTTGATAATACTTTTTTTTTTTACCGAAAATTATGCTTAAGGATAAAGTTTCCTCCACTTATTGTTTGCTTTTGGATGGACGATATTGGTAGGACAGTGCAACAACCCCTTTGTGGACTGACCTTGACCTTAAAGGGTCAGTAGAAAAATAATATAACAAAAAAAAAAAAAAAAAAACTTTTTCTTACATCAGAAATGTAATCAAACCAACACATAGATGTTTGGTTGAAAACCAACACAGATCTTTTCTGTATCATTTCGATTTTAATTCTTATAGGATACACTAAAAAAAATGTTATTTAACGATGGATAAATCAGTCATTAAATTTTTTTTTTCTGTCACTAAAATAGATATAGTGATCACCGTAATCGATCGCACAATTTCTTGTTGCTAATTTCTTAGCGATCGAATATGAAGTCTGTCGCTAATTAGCGATTGCAAAATCGGTCGCTAAAATTGCCAAAGCGATTGCTGAATCACTTACTCCCAATAAAGATAAAGTAGTCGCTATTCGATAGCTAATTACTTTGGTCGCTAAATCGGTAGCTAATCTATCGCTGTATATTGTTTTAAATCTTTCACGTTCTGTCGCTAAGCAGTTTCAAATCTGTCACTAAGGCTGTCGCCAATCGGTCACTATATTTGTCTCAATTAATTTTCAAAATATTGTTATACGTCGCTATTTTGTTGCTCAGCAGTTCCTATTTTTTTCTGGAATAAAAAATAAGATTTTTTGACCACAAAAAATTTTCACCTATAAAAAATGGCAATATATGTTGATTCAAGTAATTCACATAAATAATCGCAACAATGAAAAAAAAAAACTAAATTATCAAAAAAAATTATTATTAATGTGCGAATAAAAATGTACAAATTATACTGTAATATATACAAAGTAAACATGATAATAAAAAAGAAGTCTAAGGGGGGTTCTAATATGCAAGATCTGTAAATGGGACTCTGAGAAGCAGGTAGAGCCGAAGAAGCCAAGGGATCAGAGTGATCTGTTGGTGCAGAGGAAGCTAGCATCACAGTAGGTTGGTCTCGAGCATACATATCCATTAGCTGCTGCTGCAATATAAACTGTGATATTTGCTACTATTGCGCCTGAAGCTGAGCCCGTAAATCCTGAATCTCCTAGGTACGTGCCTCCAGCTCAGCTGGTGTGGCTCTACTCGCTAAAGCCCCATGCGTGTGGATATAAAATATCCAACTGTGAACCAATCCTGTACCATTTTCTCTTCTTCACACCTCTTGCAGCCTTGAGATAAAGCTGCAATTGATCGATCGTAGGGTGCTTACCAGTCTGAGCCTGAGATGCAATAGCTCGCTCTTTTCTAGTAGTATAGTTATCCGTACAAATAGAATACAACAGGATTAGAATAATGCAAAAATATTCAAAATTAGATGGGAAAACAGAAAAAAAATACTCAATTGTGCTTACTCTAAAAAGCTTGGCACGCCTATCAATGAATGTGAAACCATCATGGTTCTTCGTATGTGTAAATGTGAAGACCTCCATGGGGGTAGGCTGACGGTTCAACTTCTTAGCCTGCAATACATTTCATAAAATGTGAAACATTTTCAAATACATTTAATAATCAAACTTAAAAAATGAAGCTACATAAAATTCTCTAAGTAGATTTTCCTTACCAATTTCTCAGTAATCTCAGCCGTTGAAATGGAGCTGTCGGTGTGTCGAGACAGACCAGCTCCCTCACCACCCATCTCACTGAGCCTATTACAAGACATAATCTCTCATTTCCACACATGCTCCGGATCGGACCAAGCCTGTTGCCAACTAGCCCAAACCTTGTCTAAAACACATCTCTGCTTCTTTCCTGTACTCCACATCTTGTATAGGAAGCTCGAGTAACGCTCCACCGACTCCCAAGCTTTCTTAAACATGTCCAAGTAAAGCCATTTCTAAACTGTCCAACTTGGACAATTTAATGTCTTCTCTTCCATCCGGATTGAGAAAGACATCAAATGTGCA